CCCCAAAACCCCAAAACCCCAAAACCCCAAAACCCCATCAGGCTTTTATATTCAATAATTATCCTAATTCATTGAGGAAACTCATCTTCCTACTCTCTGTCCAGAAGGGAGGCTCGTTGAAGAAATCACTTTGAAGAGCTTCTTCAGCAGTGATTCTCTTTAAGGGATCCCACACTAGCATATCTTCGAGGAGCTTTACTGCAGCAGGACTGAATTTCTTAAACTTTATAGGAATATCATTGTATTCATTCTCTACAAGAGAATCAAGTTTGGCAGATACTTCCATATCAACATAGTCTGGCCAGATATGTTTATTCGGCTTTCCTATCAAATTTCAGATTTTCTGGAATTGGTCAATTTCACTTGAACCAGGGAAAAGAGGCTTTCCGTTTCATAAAAGCTCTCCAAATATTCACCCGAGAGCCCATATATCAGAAGGTGTTGAATAGTCATGGCACCCAAGTAAGATTTCTGGAGCTCTATACCAGAGAGTAACAACTTTCTTAGTAAAATGATCATAATCAGGGGCCATCTCTCTAGCGAGTCCAAAGTCAGCTACTCTGATATCTCCTTTCTTATTGACTAAAATATTGGAAATCTTGAGATCTCTATGCATAATCTCATTTCTATGCATATACTCTACTGCTAAGAGTAGCTTTTCCATGATCATTTTAATATCACTGAGTGAGAGTGACTTGTTTACGACTGCAAGAGAATCTACAAGGTTTGCTAAATCTGTGTCATAATAATCAAAAACGAGGAAAACATTCTCTTGTTTATACCCAACAGATACTTCTTTAAGATCGATAATATTTGGATGACTCAGCTTTTGTAGTAGTTTAATCTCTCTTAAACTTGTTATAGGAAAACCATCTGTTTCATTGGCCATTCGGATTTTCTTCAGGGCATAATATTTACCATCCTTTCTGTTTTTGGCTTTGAATACAATACCGTAAGTACCTTCGCCGATTACTTTTATCTTCTCATACTCTGCAACACATTTTGTGTTTCCTAGGAGAATGTACTTCTCATCACCTTGGTTTTCTTCTGGAGATTGGCCGGATTCCATTTTTATTTTATAAGGTCAATTTTTTGAATTACTAATGGGGTTTTGGGGTTTTGGGGTTTTGGGG